GCCTTATATGTATTTATCCAAAAATCTTTTTAGAAGGGCTAAATGACCCCGATATAGAAATCCACAACGGCCAAAACGGCCTCAAATAATAAAAGACAAACATCTAAAAAGATCCTAAGTGGCCTAATCTTCACTGGGGGCCACATCGTCACCTTCGGGCTCATCCGAGTCTTTAGACCCCTCAGAATCCTCCTCCTCGGGGTAAGCCAACTTCCTGGACTTTGCCTCTGATACCTTGGCATTCTCGATCTCAGCCAACAGGTCGAAGCCTTGAGCTTGAACTCCTTCGAGGGCCTCCCTTCGGGATTTCCACTTCATGTGCTCCACCAAATGCTTCACTTGATCCTGATCTTCTTCGGCATCGGCCTTATTCTGGGCCACCTTCTCATCAGCTTTGGCCTTGACCTCAGCAATCATTGACCTGGCCGCCTCAAGTTCCTTGGCCAGATTTTTCTTGGCTGGAGACCACCGAGCCAAGATGAGACCGAATCTCCTCGATTGTTTTGGCCTGGGTCGAGCCTTTTTCTCTGCAGCCCAAAACTGGGCCTCAGTCGACGCCAGTTATACCCGGACAATCTCCTATTCCGAGGCTAGGAGGTCCTTCTTCCATTTTTCGGCCTCAGCTTTTACCGTATCCACCTCCGCGTGGAGCTGCCCGATCTGTTCAAGTCTCTTTGGACCTACAGGTTCGGATCGTTAGCCACTGTGTCCAAATTATCATCACTATCTTCAAGTACTCGTCTTACCTTCTTGACCCATTCATCATGCTCCTTCCGAGCCGCTTCTAGCTCAGCCTGGAGTTTCTCACTGAGAAGCTTGTAGGTATCCCTCTTCTCAGTAAGCTCTTGAACCTCGACCTCGTGTTGGGTTAACTCCTCCTGATATCGGTGGAAAGTTTCATGGTGAAGCACCGAGGCCTACAAGCATAAAGATAAGTGTTACGATTATTTGCAACTTAAAATCTAAAGTATATAGTAAAGAGGCACTTAAAGTTACCCGATTCAACGCTTGTTGAGCTTCATTGAATAGGCAGGGCGCATCCACCTCGTCCATCTTGGCCTAGTCCTCTTCGGTCACCAAGCACCAAAGATAGCTAGAAACCCCCACAGGGGCAGAGAGAACCCGCGCGTTCTTCGGGATAGAGATAATTATTGACCACTTTCAGTCTGGATCAACACTCGGATCCAGGAACCGATCAACTAACTTCGAACCCGAAGAAGACCCGCTTGCTCCCGAAAATGGTGCTTTCTTTGGCACCAGTATGTCACCAAACCGGTGACGTCCTCCGAAGCAGTAGATTCTAAGCTATCGAAGAAGTTATTAAGGTCTGCCGCCCCCTGGGGCCCCTCGTGTGAATGTTTTTTTAGCATGTCAGCCTCGTGATCATGGAGTCGGAGAATAAATGGGACCCGGAGATATCAATCACCCCAAGTGCATCTTCCGGGGCACTTTCCTCTGCTCGAGGAGTGCCGACCATGGTCTTCCTCTCGACCTCCCTAGCTTGGGGCAAAACCGTTATCTGAATGAAACTAGATATTGTGGAATCATATTGAATATTTGACGATACATTCTGTACCTTGGTAAAAACCGATCCTTGTTTACCAAGCACTCATTGTCTAGCCAAATCCAATTTTATCTCGATACGTTTGCCACACATTTTCTAACCAAATCCAACTAACGAAGAGATCTTTGCGGAATTGGCACAGCGGCCTCACCCCTCTCCGGTTTAGAGACCTTGTCACTGCCCCTTCAGCAGCCTCCCTGGCTTGAGACAATGCAGTGTTGCCTCGCACCCGAGCCACCAGCTCGGAATTTTCTTCTTCGTCTTCGGACTCATCCCTCAGCCGGTGGGCTAAGTCCGATGGGAGGGTGCCGATGCTTTCCTTGGGTTTGCAAACCTGCCTCCTTTTCGGTTTTTGGTTCTCCGAGTTCGGGGAATTCGGAGCCCCTTTTATTTCTTCTCTTTATCCTGCTTCAGAGCAAGTGATTGGGGGAGGACGTCTTCAACTCCGGACGGGGGCGTCGTTGCAACATCCTTCCCAAGGCCTACAAAGAAAAAGAGATGAGTAAGCTCGAAAAGAAACCCAAGTGATGTCTGTTCTAGGAAAGAATCTTACCATGAGAACGGGCCTCCCACCGGCTCTTTGAAAGTTTGTACCACGCGTACCCGGAATAGGTCTTCTATGATACAATGCCCTCGACCTACTTCTTGATTTGGGAACTACATCCGGCATACGAGCAACAGCTGCACCACGAAAGATCGATAAGATGGGAGGAAAAGGAAAAGCAATAAATGAAATCTTAAAGGTAAGATTACACTTACGTTTCATGTTCCATTTCTCGGGAAATGGAATGTCCTCGGTCGGGATTAGATCCTAGGTCTTCACTGGAACGAATCATCTTAACCAGCCCCGGTCTCTATCCTCGTCTATGCTCGAGAATGGGGACTTAGTGGCTCGATGTGCAAGTTTTATCAATCTCCCTCGATAGAGTCGGGGACTGTACAGACACATGAGATGATCGATGGTAAAGGGGCACTTGTCGATTTTGCTTACGAATCACAATCCTCCAAAAGGAGGGATGGATTTGACCAAGGGTCACCTCGTACCTCTTACAGAAGGCGATGATGACCGGGTCTAAAGGGCCCAACGTGAAGGGATAAGTGTAAACACTTAAAAACCCTCCACGTGGGTAGTAATCGACTCCTCGGGCGTAGGCACGACCAGGTGCTTACCGGCCCAGTTTTAATCTTCCTTGACCTTAGAGATGAGATTGTCGGTACTGGCTCACACCGACCTGGTACGGAAGAGGTTTTCTCAACTTTGAAGTCAGCACCGGTTGGGCACCCCGCAGGAACAAACATATTCAGGAAGTGCTCCGATGTCTTTCCCTCAGCGTTAGTAGACGGAACATTTTCCTCTTTAGCCGGCTGTGAGGCAGAGGGGGTTTCTTTCTAGGGAACAGACTTTGAGGTCTTCGCCATTTTTAGGGAAGCTAAGAGAAAAGAGGAAGTTAAAAGGATGTGTTTGATAAATTGAGGTAAAGAGCAGAAGTTCTTATGAAGTGATCACAGAAGTAATCAGAGAATTGATGTTGGAGAATATAGAAATTTCTAGTGTACGAGGGCAGAGGGTTTGAAAATAAAGTTTGAATAACATAATGATGGGGTATTTATAGTTTGCAAACGACGGTTCAAAATCCGTAATGGTCGACCAGTAACTGACGAACATATAACGCCATTAAAGACGTGCTGACGAGATGTTTTGTCAGTTTTGTCATTTCTGGCGCGAAGAATCGAGACAAAAATCGAGGGCTCATTTCGTTTCTCGTCGTTTACTCTCCGAAAAATGAGGGGACTATCTGTATATGGTCGAAACCGAGCTCGTCTATTGCATGACAGGTCGGGACTGAAACGTGACGGGTTGAAGCTCGACCTCGATTTATATCGAACCAAGGTACGAAGTTAGAAGCTCGACCTCTGATTATATCGAACTAAGGCACGAAGTTAGATCATCGAGCCCGTGACTCCGGAATCGACCCCGACTCCGAACATGATCAAGGAAACTTTATCGGGCCAACGGAAGGCCAAAATATCCGCAATTGGTCGGATATCACGACGGAAATCTCGGCACGTATCAAGAAGAGGCTGATTAGTTAGCAAATTATGAGGTTTTCTACCTTTTATAGAATTATATCTAGAGTAAGACTCCCCTACTATATAAAGGAGGGTCTGATCATTTGTAAGACACATTGGCAACACGCATCCCAAGCAATATACTGTCATTTCTAGTTCTTATTATCTTGTTATTCTATTTTGACATCAATTGAGGTATTTCTTGACTCGAGGGTGACCAACCTTCAAGGCTAAGACTGTTCAACTTGTATGGTTTGCATTTATTTCCCTACCATTAATTTAATATTAATCTGTTTTATCAATTTGTATCAAGTTATATCACGTACCTTAAAAACGCGTATAAATTCAATTGTTATCCGATTTTGACGATAAACAAAGACTTTGTAAGTTTGTCATCTTACAAGTTACATATGCCATGATATTTGTATGACCCGAAACATCTTATGAAGAAAAAACTAAAAAATTTAAAGTTTAAATTATTTCTAAATATAAAAAATTGTTCTTTTTATAACGAAATAGTAAAACAATAGTTTCACATAAGTGAAATGGAGGAAGTACTATCCATTACTATCGCAAATAACTTAATACAATGATATTAAAAAAAACATTATATTGTTATAAAATATTTAGTAAATGTGGATGTCCACTACTCCCACTACTTTCACCCATGATGTAAATTATCTCCCACTACTCATCACCATTATGATTGCAACTCCCACACCTCCATAACCCCTCCCCATGATCTTCCCCCATGATCTCAATTGTTAATGCCATATTTAAGACAATGATTTTGTAACCTTTCATATGTAATAGTATAAATAGAGGTATGAAATGTGAGATGGAATACACTTGAACACTTGATGAAATAAGAAAGTTATCTCTTCTTCTCTTATTCTGCTTATCTTCTTGTTTTATATTGTTATTTTGAGCTACATTTTTTAACACGTTATCAGCACGAAGTTGAGCTCTTTTCGTTGTTCAGGTATATTTGTTCATTTTTTTTTCGTTGTATGTTTTGATTTCATGATTAGTGTCTTTAATATGCCGTTTTATAATTTCTCACATCTCTAGATATATGTAAAAATAATGAATTCTATGTTTCTTTATTTTAAGTTATTTGCATGATTGTCATGTGAAAGTTGCTAATTTTTATGTTAATAGAATTAATTGAGAGAAGATATTTTGTTCTAGTTAACATCAAAGATATACTAATAATTTGAAGAAAAAAAAATAGTATTCTTTTCTATGGAATTATCACTTTAGTGTATATATAGATCACAAATTTGATATTATGTCAATTTTTAAGATTCTTTATGCTATTATCCTAATAATTTCTAATTAGTTATCTTCTTTGATAGTTTTTACTATGTCGAATTTGTCAAAGCTTGAGTTTGTGGCACTTGACATTTCTAGAAAGAATTACCTATCATGGGTTCTCGATGCTGAGATTCACTTAGCCGCTAAAGGCCTTGGTAACACCATTACTCAGGGTAATGAGGCATCAAGCCAGACAAAGCGAATGCCATGATTTTCCTTCATCATCATTTGGATGAAGGTTTGAAGGTTGAATATTTAACAGTGAAAGATACACTTGAATTGTGGACTGGCTTGAAGGAAAGGTATGATCACCTTAAGGCTACGGTATTGCCAAGGGCTCGATATGAGTGGATGCACTTACGGTTGCAAGATTTTAAGACAGTAAGTGAGTATAACTCTGCTGTATTTCGAATAACTTCCCAATTGAAATTATGAGGGGAAGTTATGAATGATAAGGATTTGCTGGAAAAGACTCTTACGACTTTTCATGCCTCAAATATGGTATTACAGCAGCAATACCGTGAAAGGGGTTTTAAAAAGTATTCTAAATTGATCTCATGCCTTCTGGTGGCTGAGCAACATAATACCCTTTTGCTGAAAAATCATGAAGCCCGTCCCACAGGGTCAGCTCCGCTTCCTGAAGCGAATATGGCAGCTAGACGTGATAAGTCTGGAAAAAGATAGAATAATAATCATGGCCATATGAATGTACGTGGGAATGGCAATGGTAAGAGACGATATAACAGTCGTCATCATGGTGGTCATGGCAAACGAGAGAACAATATGGGTTCTCAAAACAATCCTTGAAGAGGCAAAAGCGGTAACTGCCACCGCTGTGGCATGAAAGGTCATTGGAAAACTGAATGTCGTGCACCTGAGCATTTTGTCAGACTTTATCAAAACTCCATCAAAAGAAAGGCAAATAATGTTGGAGCATCTTCTGCTAATGCCCCAGTGGAGTCACACTTGACCTTTAAATATGATTTTGAGGCAGGGCCTTCAAACAAAAATGATGACAATGCCGAGGCAAATCTTGCTTTGAATGATGATGATCAAGGCCTCGATGATCTTACTCATTTGGAAGTTGAAGACTTCTTTGGAGATCAAAACTAAAGTTTGATCATTTTACTGGGGAATGCAATTATGTTATTTTTATTTTTAGTGGTTTTTTTTGTCTCGTTCTAAAGTTGTTTTTTATTTTCAAGTAGTACTTAAGTTGTCTTATGTTGTCGTTGGTGATGTTAGTTTTTTCCGTATTTCTCATGATGTACTTTTATTTTTTTATGAAGAATATAAAATTCCCCAGTCTTCAATTGGATCCAAGATGAATAATGAAGATTTATGCCTTTTGGATAGTGCTACAACTCACATAATATTAAGAGAAAAGAAATTTTTCTCTTATTTGGTTATGAAAAAGGCTTATGTTAATACAATATCTGGTAGTACAAAGTTAATTGAGGGCTCTGGAAGAGCGGCCTTATTACTACCTGGAAGAACGATATTAACTATTAATAATGCATTGTATTGTAGTAAGTCTCAAAGAAACTTGTTGAGTTTCAAAGCTATTCACCAAAATGGCTACCATGTTGAGACCTCTAACGAAGGAAAGGTTGAATACCTTTATACTAGTACAATAAAAGCGGGGAAAAAATGTGTGCACGAAAAATTACCCGCATTTTCTTCTGGGTTGTACCACACAAATATTGGTGTGGTTGAATCACATGCCATAGTAAACAAAAGGTTTACTACTTCTAATGATTTTATCATTTGGCATGACCGGTTGGGCCATCCCGGTTCTAACATGATGCGCAGAAAAATAGAGAATTCAAATGGGCACACATTGAAGAATAAGAAGATTCTTCAATTTAAGAAATTCTCTTGTGCTGCTTGTTCTCAAGGAAAATTGGTTATTAAACCATCAGCAGCTAAAGTTGGGATTGAATCCCCTGCATTTCTGGAACGTATACAGGGTGATATATGTGGGCCTATACACCCTCCATGTGGACCATTCAAGTATTTTATAGTCTTAATAGACGCATCTACAAGATGGTCACATGTGTGCTTATTCTCAACTCGTAATATGACATTTGCGAGATTGTTGGCCCAAATAATAAGGTTAAGAGCACAATTTCCAGATTATGCAATTAAGACAATTCGTCTTGATAATGCTGGTGAATTTACATCTCAGGCCTTTACAGATTATTGTATGGCCACTGGAATAAAAGTTGAGCATCCGGTTGCTCATGTTCATACTCAAAATGGTCTAGCAGAATCATTGATTAAACGACTTCAACTAATAGCTAGAACATTGCTAATGAGGACAAAACTCCCCCTTTCAGTGTGGGGACATGCTATTTTGCATGCAGCAGCACTTGTGCGCATAAGGCCAACCAGTTATCATAAAGTCTCCCCATTACAATTGGCTTTTGGCCAGGAGCCAAATATTTCCCATCTAAGAATATTTGGATGTGCAGTATATGTTCCAATTGCTCCACCACAACGTACAAAGATGGGTCCCCAAAGAAGGTTGGGAGTATATGTTGGTTATGAATCTCCTTCTATTATCAAATATTTGGAGCCTATGAGAGGAGATTTGTTTACATCCAGAGTTGCTGATTGTCATTTTGATGAATCAGTTTTCCAACATTAGGGGGAGAAAATAAATAGCTAGAAAAAGAGATAGATTGGAACGTATTATCTCTATCTCATTTGGATCCTCGTACAAATCAATGTGAACAAGAAGTTCAAAAGATCATTTATATGCAAAATATTGCAAATCTATTGCGAAATGCATTTACTAACCTTCCACGGGTTACTAAATCGCATATTCCAGCTGTAAATGCTCCAAATCGAGTTGATGTCCCAGCTGGACAGTATGATGATGCAAATGAGTCTAGGCCACGCCTTAAACGTGGTAGACCAATTGGTTCCAAGGATAAGAATCCCCGAAAAAGGAAAGGAGCAAATGATCAAGTTGATCATAACATGGAGGCAATTGCTCAAGAGGAACATAAGGACATAGCAATTGATAAGGCCTCACAGGAGGTTCTAGTACCTGGAAATGATGAAAATGAAGAGATCTCAATAAGTTATGTCTCTACAGGAAAAAGGTGGAACTGAAATAACGTTGTGGTTAATAACAATTTTGCATATAATGTTGCAATTGAAATAATGCAACAAGATGAGGATCTTGAGCCAAAATCTGTCGATGAATGTAGACAGAGAAATGATTGGCCAAAATGGAAAAATATAATTCAAGCGAAATTGGCTTCACTCGAAAAACGTGAAGTTTTCGGACCAATAGTCCGAACGCTTGAAGGTGTCAAGCCAGTAGGGTACAAATGGGTTTTTGTGCGAAAACGAAATGAGAAAGGTGAAGTCGTAAGATATAAAGCACGACTTGTGGCACAAGGGTTTTCGCAACCTGGCATTGATTATATGGAGTCATATTCTCCTGTGGTAGATGCAATTACCTTCAGGTATCTAATAAATCTGGCAGTCCATGAAAAGCTTGATATGCGATTGATGGATGTTGTCACAGCCTACTTATATGGCTCACTGGATAATGAAATTTTTATGAAAATCCCTGAAGGATTTAAAGTTCCTAAAGCACATAAAAGTTCAAGAGAAACTTGTTTAATAAAGCTTCAGAAATCCTTATACGGATTGAAGCAATCAGGGAGGATGTGGTACAATCGCCTTAGCGAGTATTTGCTAAAGTAAGGGTACAAAAATGACCCTATTTGCCCTTGTGTCTTTATTAAGAGGTCTGGATCTGAATTTGTTATCATAGCTGTGTATGTTGATGACTTGAGTATCATTGGCACTTTTAAAGAGCTTCCAAAGGCTATAGAGTGTTTGAAGAAAGAGTTTGAAATGAAAGATCTCGGTAAGACAAAATTTTGTCTTGGCCTACAAATTGAGGATGTACCAAATGGAATTTTTGTCCATCAATCAACATATACTGAAAAGGTTTTAAAGCGATTTTACATGGATAATGCACATCCATTGAGTACCCCAATGGTTGTGAGATCGCTTGATATAAATAAAGATCCATTTCGGCCTCAAGAAAATGATGAAGAGCTCGTTGGTGATGAAACTCCTTATCTTAGTGCAATTGGGGCACTGATGTATCTTGCCAACAATACTCGACCAGATATTGCTTTTGCAGTGAGCTTATTAGCAAGATTTAGCTCCTCCCCAACAAGAAGACATTGGAATGGTGTTAATCATATATTTAGATATCTTCGGGGAACCATAGATATGGGATTATTTTATTCTAATGAATTCAAGTCAGAAATGATTGGCTATGCCGATGCAGGTTATTTGTTTGATCCACATAAAGCTCGATCTCAAACAGGCTATTTGTTTACATATGGAGGTACTGCTATATCATGGCGTTCAATGAAACAAACAATAGCTGCCACATCTTCAAATCATGCTGAGATAATAGCCATTCATGAAGCTAGTCGGGAATGTGTTTGGTTAAGATCAATGACTCAGCATATTCAGGAAATGTGTGGTTTTCTTATGAAAAAGGATAATCCAACAATACTATATGAAGACAATGCTGCTTGTATTGCTCAACTGAAAGGAGGATACATCAAAGGAGACTGAACAAAGCATATTTCACCAAAGTTCTTTTTCACGCATGATCTTCAACAAAATGGAGAAATTAATGTTCAACAGATTCGTTCATGTGAAAATTTGGCTGATCTGTTCACTAAGGCATTACCAACCTCAACATTTGAGAAGTTGAGATAGAAGATTGTAATACGACGTCTTCGAGAAATAAAGTGATATTTTCATGAGGAGGAGTAAGATACGCGCTGTACTCTTTTTCCCTTAGCCTAGGTTTTGTCCCACTGGATTTTACTGGTAAGGTTTTTAACGAGGCAGCAAATAAAGCGTATTAGAGATACGTGTACTCTTTTTCCTTCACTAAGATTTTTTCCCACAGGATTTTTTCTTAGTAAGGTTTTAACGAGGCATATTATCTATTTTTTTGGACATCCAAGGGGGAGTGTTATAAAATATTTAGTAAATGTGGATGTCCACTACTCCCACTACTTTCACCCATGATGTAAATTACCTCCCACTACTCATCACCATTATGATTGTAACTCCCACACCTCTATAACCCCTCCCCATGATCTTCCTCCATGATCTCAATTGTTAATGCCATGTTTAAGACAATGATTTTGTAACCTTCATATATAAATAGAGGCATGAAATGTGAGATGGAATACACTTGAACACTTGATGAAATAAGAAAGTTATCTCTTCTTCTCTTATTCTACTTATCTTCTTGTTTTATATTGTTATTTTGAGCTATATTTTTTAACATATATACTATTAATGTTAAACATTAATTGTGCACTGACATAGGATTACAATTTTTTACACCATCTGTCTTAAATAAACGTTCTTCGTTTTAACCAAAAAATAAAATAGAATTGTTCGTAGTTATCATAATCAGGCAACCTAAATATGCAAACGTTTTACAGCTAATTAAAATGTAATGGTGGAATACGCAGTAGTGTAGAATTAAGTCTATCTAGTTTAGTTATTTCTATTCTAGTCCAGTAGTATTTACTTTTTCAATTAAGTCCTCTTAGGTTCTAGAAGCAGGACATGTGTCATTTTGTTAATTGGTTTGTTACACAAAACCAGCTGTCCTTTTCTTCTTGCGTTAGGCATATATTGACAGTCCTTGTATTCAGAAACATATTCAGATATGACAAAATTGATATTTTAAATTCTTTTTCCTTCATTTATTGTTTCATCGTCTTTCTCCTAAATCTTCATAGTAGCAGACTGCTACAAATTGGTATCAGAGCTCGATCCTGGCAATTCAAGGATATAAACACAAAAATCAGTCCGATGATGATGGACTTAGAAGGGTTGAAGTTCAGCTACAAGTTTTCATGGAAAAATCGGAACAGAGGATGGATAAACTAGAGGAGAAGCAAGGGAGTTTTGAAGCTAAGATGGTGGAGTTTTCTGACTCGTCGAAGCGGATTGAAAGGATTGAGGAGATGTTGGTGCAAATGAGTGGTCAAAACAAGGCGGAACACTCTTCGTCAGTTCGGTCTTCCGTCGCCGGAATCCATGGCGGACCTTCTTTGGAAGCAGGCCTCTCGTCGGTTGGAGGTAATTTACAGAGCTACACTCCTCCAATTTCACCTTCCATTACCACAGGGCTTCGAGCAGTACCGTTATCCTCACTACCCCAGCTAGGAAGTGTCTCAGCTAATTCACGATCCCAAACTGAAAACATTACTTGAATTTCCTTGAACCCTTCAACTGCAGCTTTCAGACCACCCTCTCACTCTTATCCTTTAACTACCAGAACCTATATTCCACCAAGAACCTCTTATCCTATAAACAACCAATCAAGCAACCCACCAACTTATTCATATCAAATGGCCTCCCAACCACTAGTTCCCCAGTCAAATCCTTACCCAATTTCCACACAACCATTTTTACCCCAATCATATCCTTTTACAGTTACCCAAAGTATGGCTAAATTTTATGAGCCATATTCGACTTGTCCGATAACTCAGCCTGTGACAAACATAATAGCACAGTCCTTATCCATTCCATTTGGAACTTTTCAGCAGATCCCATTGGTTGGCACTTCTCAGAATCAAAACGGGCCTGACTCTCATGGATCCACATCCAAACTACCTAAAGCCAAGTTATTATTTTCGGAGTTTGATGAAATAAATCCTAGGAGTTGGTTGAGAAGATGTCAAAAGTTTTTTGATTTATACCAAGTGAGGGATGATGAAAAAATTGATTATGTGGCTATTCAATTAAAGGATTTTGCGGACCATTGGTTTGATGGGTATTTAGCTGATCATGATGGTACTGTATCTTGGGCCCAATTTTGTTACGATATATGTGAACGTTTTGGTGATAATGATCCGGTGGAGATTGTTAAAGAATTCAATCATCTTGAACAAACCACTGATGTAGAGACTTACCATAGGCGATTCGATGACCCATTTTGTGTCTTGCTTTATTGGTGGGCTTAAACCGGACATATTACCACTCATACAGTTTGCTCGGCCCAGAACTTTATTGGCAGCTTACAAGTGTGCTAAGTTGCATGAGAGATCCTTCAATGCATTTTATAAGCAAATGGATAAACAATGGTCGGCTAAATCCCATCACAGAAACTCTCAGTCCAGCTATAAGCCCATATTACCCAAGCCCACTCTAACCAAGAACCCACCTGTTGTGAACACCCGTAATCCAAATTCAATGAATATGACTCTAGAAATGTTGAAGGAGAGGAATCTATGCTATAAATGCCATGGCACCTATTTCCCTGGACATGTTTGTAAAAATAAAACTCTTAATGCTATGGAAGCTGAGGAGTTTGTTGATCCAGTAGATGGATTGGAGGAACAAGAGGGAGGGGTTGTGGCGGAACTAGGCCAGGAACAAGCTAAAGTAACCTTAAATGCTATAATGGGTCGGAGCAAGGCCCCTTCAACAATTAGAATCACTGGATGGGTCAAGGGACAAAATGTTGTGGTATTGTTGGATAGTGGGTCAACCCATAGTTTCGTAGATCCCATGATAGTGAAGTCCAGTTCAGGTGGGGTAGAAGAATTGGGCAGACCCATGAAGGTTAAAGTGGCCAATGGCCAATACCTCAAATGCAAGCATGTGTGCAGGAAATTCGAATTGAAAATGCAAGACAAGAAATTCATCTTTGACATTGAATTGCTGAAAGTAGGGGGTTGTGACATTGTTCTGGGAATGGATTGGGTCGATACTGTTGCACCAATAGTGTTGCACACAAAGCCATTGAGTGTCTCGTTCATTTACAAGTCAGAAATAATTACACTAAGGGGTTGTCCAGATGATGGGAAAGTTTCTAAGGTGGATACTAAAGTCATTTCCAAATTACTCGGCAAAGGACAATGTAACTTTGCGGCTCAAATGTTCTTGATGAACTTAACAGAAAATGATCAGGTGATTCCCCAAGCAGTGAGCAAGTTGTTGGGCCACTTAGAGGGCTTGTTCCAAGAGCCCAAAAGTTTGCCTCCTAGTCGTGATTGTGACCATGCCATAAAGCTGGTTCCAGGAGCTGAGCCCATAAATTTGAGGCCTTATCGATATTCGTTTGAGCAGAAGAATGCCATTGAAGAGATCGTAGCGGAAATGTTGAAGGCCCAAACAGTTGCCAGAAGTGTTTCACCATTTGCTTCACCTATCCTTTTGGTTAAAAAGAAAGATTCTAGTTGGCGTATGTGCATGGATTATCGCAAGTTGAATGAGGCCACTGTTAAAAATAAATATCCCATACCAGTTGTTGAAGAATTATTTGATGAGCAACATGGATCAAGAATTTACACTAAGTTAGATTTAAGGTCCGGTTATCATCAAATTCGTATGAAGAAAGGGGATGAATACAAAACAGCTTTTCGCACACATCATGGGCTATGGGAATTTAAAGTCATGCCGTTTGGGTTGACGAATGCCCCAGCCACCTTTCAAGCACTTATGAACCAGATCTTTGGCCTTATTTGAGGCAATTTGTGCTTGTATTTTTTGATGACATTCTTGTTTATAGTGGGTCAATGGCAGAACACCTGAAGCATTTACAAATGGTGTTTGAGTTGTTGAAAGCAAACCAACTGTTGATCAAGAAGTCAAAATGCAGTTTCGGCCAAGACAAAGTTGAATATCTGGGCCATGTCATTTCGAAACATGGGGTGAGTACTGATGAGTCTAAAATCAAAGCTATGTTAGATTGGACCCAGCTCAAATCAGTCAAGGAATTGAGAGGATTCTTGGGCCTCACAGGCTACTATAGAAGGTTTATCAGAAATTTTGCTACAATTAGTAAGCCCTTGACTAGCCAATTAAAAAAGGAAAATTTCAACTGGTCCATGGAAGCAACCCAAGCTTTTGAAGAGCTGAAGCAAGCCATGGTCCAAGCCCCAGTATTAGCCCTGCCAAATTTTGCAATACCTTTCATTGTGGAAGTAGATGCTAGTGGAAAGGGAATGGGACAGTTTTAATGCAAAATGGGAGGCCCATCGCCTTTATCAGTCAAGCACTAAGCTCAAGGCACATGGGGCTTTCAACATATGAAAAGGAGCTAATTGCACTATTGTATGCTGTCGATAAGTGGCGACATTATCTACAACCTAATCATTTTATCATCAAGACAGACCATTTTAGCCTTAAATTCCTCAAAGATCAGAAGTTGACCACCTCATTGCAGCATAAGGGAGTCACTAAGCTATTGGGTCTTAGCTATGAGATTCATTATCGAAAAGGGGCTGAAAATGTAGCCGCAGATGCACTCTCAAGGAAGTATGATGAGGGTGATTGTGCCGGACTCCCTGTTGTTCAACCGAAATGAGCTGAAGATGTTTTAGAAAGTTATCAAAATGATGCAGTTGTTCAAGACCTTTCCACTCAGTTATCTGTAGATCCTAATGCAGTTCCAGGGGTGCAGATCCGAGATGGTATTGTGAGGCAAAATGGAAGAGTTTGGGTGGAAAATCATGGTGAGCTCCAGCAAAAGTTAATTAAGGAGATGCATTCATCACCCTGGGGAGGTCACTCTGGTATACATGCTACACAACAGAGGCTTAGAAACTTATTCTATTGGCCTACTTTATTACAGGATGTCAAGAATTATGTCAAGGAATGTGAGACCTGTCAGAGAAGAGAAATAAGGGGGAGAGTGTTGCTTACCCTGGCCTTCTCCAACCGCTGCCAATACCTTCGCGAGCCTGGGAACATGTTGCAATGGACTTCATTAGTGGATTGCCTAAATCCAATGGTAAAGATTCAATACTTGTGGTAATAGATAGATACACAAAGTTTGCTCATTTCTTTGCCCTCGCTCATTCTTACACAACTAATCAAGTTTCTCAAGATCCGCCTTACTGCACTAACGATGGCCAGATTCTGACTGAGCCATTGAAAATTTTAGAAAGGAGGATGGTCAAAAAGAAGAACAAGGCAGTGGTGGAAGTGTTGGTGCAATGGGCCAATTTCGCTCCTAAAGAAGCTACATGGGAGGAATACGGTTTTCTGAAGGGCCAATTTCCTAATTTTGAACCTTGAATTACATCAACGTTCCTTATGGGGGATGGAGTGTAGAATTAAGTCTATCTAGTTTAGTTATTTCTATTCTAGTCCAGTAGTATTTACTTTTTCGATTAAGTCCTCTTAGGTTCTAGAAGCAGGACATGTGTCATTTTGTTAATTGGTTTGTTACACAAAACCAGCTGTCCTTTTCTTCTTGCGTTAGGCATATATTGACAGTCCTTGTATTCAGAAACATATTCAGATATGACAAAATTGACATTTTAAATTCTTTTTCCTTCATTTATTGTTTCATTGTATTTCTCTTAAATCTTCATAGTAGCAGACTGCTACATATTTACATCGTCGAAATATAAATTAAATCCATTTATAATATGAATATTCTTTTGGTTCTCGATATAACATACCTATATACGTCGTCCTCAAATCTAGGCAGTTGTGTAGGGTTTCTGACTTTCTGCATGAACAGTCTCTTAGTTAGGTTTGGCCATATATTCTTAAATTTGTTTTAAGAAATCTGATTTGTGTGAAGTTTGGTTTAAAGATGAAAATCTGTTTGGACACAATTTTTCAAAACATATTTCACTTTTTTTGTTGAAAAAATATGAAATGTGACTTATACCCACAAGTTCTAAAAACTATCAAAAATACCCAACGATACAAAATAAATTTGCTAATCCTTTATTTTGTGGGACTACTATTTCTGTTGTCAGAAATATTTTCTTTGACTTTTGCGACCAATGAGCTTCCTTGATCACCTGAAGAGATTTTTAGGCAGAATTGGCACAATTATTACCGTGAGGATATTACTTAATTTCCGATCGATTTCGGTCGGTATTCTATGGACGGATTTTGACAGTTTTCTAGTAGTGCATATGCAGAACCTTTCATCGATGCTATTAATTATCATTATCACAAACCATAGTCCTGAACATAGATAAGTTTGGCACAAAATTATCATTTTTATAATGAACTACATAATACACTATCCTAAAATCATAACCTGATATTTTAATATCAACTGCTAATAACACAATTATTAGTCACTAGAATTCGTCAAATTGCAATAATACTACAAGATTCATCAGTCCTAAAGAAAATGATGGTAATTAGCTTGTGGATTAGTTGGGTCATAATAGAGGGTGGGCTTTTTTATAAAATATAAAAAGTTTGGGGTAATTTTTGAAATTATTAAAAAATTCAAGAGTAATACATTTGGGCCAAAAACAGGTCTAGAGCTAGTTTTGGGATTTAAATATTTTATTTCCAAAATCTGCCAAAACATGAATAAAATCTATAAACAAACATGGTTTGCCAATTTTTTTCGGAAAATCTATGGACAAGAGGCCTTAGTCTTTATTGGTTTGTAGGGCAAGTAGGGGTGTTCGTCGGCAAGCATGATATGATATTTAGATATTTCTGTTCGGTATTTTAGATTCGATTTCTGTAAATATTATACCAATACCATACCTAATTAAATTCGGTGCGGTTCAATTTCTCTTCTTTCAATTTCAGTTATTTTATCTGGTAACTTCGATTTGTTCGGCTTGAATATTAACAAAAGCATAGAGCCATAGACTATAAAATTCTCATTAATTAAAGTACTCACACATAATGAGAAAAAGGGTACGTAACGGAATAAATTTGATCATTAAAAATGTCTTGTTACTTACTTAGAGTTAATTGTTCAATTTGGAGAATACAACAAGGACTGCTAATACATGAATGTCGAAGAAAAATATTGTATAACTTAGTATGCTATAATCAATAATATGTATTATGTAACTTAGTATATAATTCGGTCCGACGTCGATTATTCGGTATTATTTTTCTAAATATCAAGTACCATACCTTATACCAAATATTTTAAAAAGGAAAACCAAATACCACACTAAATACTAAATACCAAATCCTAATATCAAAATTTTATATTTCAATATAATAATTTGATACCGTACTATGCACAACCTTTAGGGTGATGACCACTATTTATTAGGATTTCCCCCCTACTTTTTTAGAATTAACTGAAGGAAATAAACACTTCAATTAAGAAACACTCATAGACATACATTAAGGGGCCGTTTGGTTTGAATACAAGTTATGTTGAGATTAGTTATGTTGGGATTAGTTATATATCCTGGTATTATTTCTTATTGACTGTTTAAAATGTTGTATTAATCATGGGATTATCAATTTTACTGCTTTATCCTAGAATAACTTATCGTGAGATTACTATTCCACCTTTTGACATGTATATGTTCTCCTAGAATTAGTAACCAAACAAGGGATAAGGCGGTACTAAATTTTTGTCCTAGGATTATTTTTATTTATCCATAATATCACACGACTCCTAAGTGGGAAATCAGCCGGGGAGCCAGGATTTTCATCCAGAGGATTCAAAAAATACAATTAAATAAACACGCAAAAAACTGATGGAGATTAAACATTAAATATGCACATAAAATAAAAATTAACTTTTTATGGACAATTTAATTTTTCAACAAGGTTCATTCAGCCCGAGCTCCGCCACGGCTGGTGGGAAGAAGATAAAAGAGATTATTTATATTATATTATTTGCTTGGTTTGCATTTAGTTGATGTAAGAAAATACTCAAATAGAATGAAGGAAATCTTCTTTTGTTTTGTTGAAGAGATTAGTCTATATTAGTAATTAGGAAAAATAATATTCCCCACGATTGTTTTTTAATATTCTTAATTAAAACTTTTAAGTTTAGATATGTTATGACATTTATATACCTATAAAATCATATCATACAAGATAAATTGATCAGACGTTTAAAATCTAAAATTATTTTTAATAAAAAAAATATGCAATTCTTCTTTATAGAGATTAAAAAGGAACGAGTGTCATATAAAATATAACAAAGATAGTTCGAACTCATTCTCCATACCCCTTCACTTAACTGTCAGAGAGTCAAATTTAATATATTTGTCAATAAATGTTAACAAAAGTATATGACGTTATCTATTGTAAAACTTAGGTAAATTTCACAAATGGTCATATAACTATGACTTTTTTTTCATCAAAGTCATATAACTTTATTTCCTCACACAAAAATCTTAAAACTTTCACTAACTCGCGCGAAAATCATAATGGTCGAAAACGAATATTCCGATAGTATTTTCTTATTTAACGTTTTTTATTTATTTTTATTTTCAGTCAAATAAATGATCATCCAATAATAATAGGAGAAATATGAGTATATTTTTAGCCGTTCCCAAAAAAAAAATAGCTATAAAATATTATATATATATATATATATAAAGAAAAGTCATAGTTATATGACTATTTGTGAAGCTTACCCAGTAAAACTTTATAAAATGGTTCAACATATGATTTTTCTTGAGGATTATGTTGATACTTACAAAATAAAGTGACACATTCAGTTTGTCACAGAGAATATATAACAAAATAGAACATTAGGGGGAATAATTTTGGATATATTCTTACTTTGTCCTTTTTTAGTTTCTAGATCTACATCAACATTCTCGACCTATAAGAAGATGGAGAAACTATTGGAGATAAGAGAATAGAACAATCCAATATTACTTACTGATCTGTTAGCAGAGAATATACCCATTTGCATGTGAAAATCGTTTATATTTTACTAGACTATTCGTATTGTCAGCACCCACATATTCCCTCCCAATTCCAAAAGAATGGACCATATGTAATTCACCTACGTCTATTTGTTTCTTGCCCCTTTCTGTGAAATAATAAGTATGGCCACCCTAGTCTAGTTTGTATATTGATCATGTATTTTTTATATTATCAGGTATTATGGAGATCATTAGGATACATACACAACATTGTATTATTTATATTTGTTTAGGGTAGTTGTACTTATAACATTACGAGTAGTGCCAAGCGGTTAGGTAGTTAGTTGAGTTAGTTAGACTTCCTAAAGTTAGTTAGTCAGTAAGCTGGGGTTTGGGCT